GTTTTATTATGCACCAGTTTTCTTAATTATTTTAATTAGCACAAATATATTTACACGGTTGACTACAGTATATAAAAAACTTATTAGGATTATTTAGTGGCTTAGACAAAGTCAGCCTTTACTGGAAGCCAATGCAATTTCTTCACCTAGGGAGTTAAAAGATGCATAATTCAAAGATTTATGGAGAGAAGCCAAAGCCTGAGATGGGAAAACACAAATAATGAAATTGTACAAGACTGCGGCATTGGTGATGCTTATCTGACTGATATACAAGGCAGAGGTTGCTCTTGATATATACGCTACGGTACCCATGAGTTCCTGTGTGCTCGGAGAGAGATATTGTAAATATGGCATTTTCATAAGGCGCTCGCTGAGTAAATAGTATTGTTTAATGAAGAATCGCACACAAGCCGAAAACCATCACTCTCAACAGCTTCAATCTAGATTTACATGCAAGGAGATAGAGAAGTGTATGTCAGTGGAACAGCTGTGCTGTAATCTGTACATGACGGGATGTAAGAGCTGTATTAACATTGTGTGACATCCTCATGTAATATTCATTGATGAAATTTGCTCAGAGTGTATGATAGGTTATAAAATAAATATCCAGACAATGTATCTACTAAGCGGCTGAGTCAATGGGCCTGAATTGGAAGGTGGAAGCGGATTCCTGTACCTTGTGTTGGCTGGCTTTCCACTTTAAATCTACCCAACAATTGTTGTGGTTTTGCTCCTGTTTGTATGAATGCAAAATAAAAATATAAAAACTCCCAAATCGGAACTTAAAGGGTAACTGCAATTTCGTGGGGAAAAAAAAAATTGCAAATAAAATAAAAGTAATATAGCATATACAATTGCGACACAAGTAATATTGTAATTGAATGTTATTAAAAATGACCTTTCTATTTCAATCTGCAGCACTGTAATCTTCATTAAAATGCAACCTGAAGGAGTTCTGTACAGGTGGTATACAGAACACCCCCCAGAAATGTCGTTTCCTGCTTGTGTGATTGGTTCACTGATTTTCCCAGTAGTCTGCGCTAAGATACAAGCCAGAATTTGAGCATCCTCTGCACCAAAAATTTCATTTGTGGTGAGGTACTCCAAAAGGGAAAACATGTATAAAGGGATGCAGACCCTGCCACTTTCCTCATTAGAGCCATGCAGGTGCAGCAGCTGATTGATAATTACAAATAACTCCCATTCACATTAATTTTGCACATGGACAAGCAAATGGTTATTTCTTCAGAATATCAAAGGGTAGGAAACTGCAACAAAGCATTTCTGTGTGTCACAAACTGAAAAAGTTATTTAAAGAATAAGTTCAGCTTTACCAAAAAAAATAAATAAATAAATGCTTTTTTTTTTTTTTTTTGCAGGTAAAAAAATATGCATTTATTATTTTATTTGTAATGAGCCTGGAAAGCGTTGCACCGATGATCAGCAGATGGTGGATGTAATGCCACAGTCCTGCAGACTGTCTGTGTATCCAGGGGCGGACTGACCATTTGGAAACTCGGGCACTGCCCGAGGGCCCAGGATCAGTAGGGGGCCCCATGAGATGCCCCTGGTACCTTTTTCATAGGCTTTTTTGAGTTTGGGCAAGGACACAGGGGCCCCATGATCGCCTATTGCCTGGGGGCCCCATGAGTTGTCAGTCCGCCCCTGTGTGTATCTGTCTGCCCATACATCAGATATGAGTTACACTCTGCAGGAAGAATAAATTGACTACCAGAGTGCACAACGACACCCCAGTAGTTCACTGAGAAATACAAATATTTTCTTGTTCTGAAATAATAAAGGGGTGCTGCAAATATTGATGATGGGAATATACGTATATATATATATATATATAAACTCTGGAGATTTATTCTTTGTAGTCTGCTTAGTACTACATGGCATCAGCTTCAAAACCTTTCCTGCTGGGTAACACCTTTCCCCTGTGTTTCCATGTTGCATTGTCCATTTGAACAGATATCTGTTCATAGCCATGTTGATGGACCTGCACTCTAGAAATCCTAAGCCACTAAAATGCTGTGTAAAGTTTAACATACAACATTAGCCATTTCTTTTTGCATGGAGTTGGATGGGTTAAAACCATTGTGAGGTTTTTATAGCTGTCTGTGTTCTCAATGGAGAGATTCCCTTAACTGTCTATTTGATGAGTGTCAGAATAGAAAGCAATGGTAAATCTCAACGGTGCTCTCACAGACAGCAATTACAATTTTAGTAGAGTGGGGAAGAGTTAGTACGTTTGTCAGAGTTTTGTGTTTGTTTCTGTCTTTTTTACCCACTTGGAAGATTACTTTCTATTTCCTATACAGTTGATGGATGTCAAACAGAACAGGAAAATTGCCCCCAGGGGTTCCTAGACAGCAGTGAATGCCTGACAGAAGTCAGAATCTATACAAATTTGGGGAAAAAAATTGGGATTGGCCATGAAAGCTGAACGGTATATAAATAAAAAACAATTAATACAAATATTTATTCTTTTAAAAAATGCATTTTAAATGCAAACAGTAAATGTGTGATATCAGCCTCCTGTAATTTTATTGAGCATGAAAACAAAGAGGGTGCAAACACCTCGCACATTACCTTAAAAAATGTATTGAAAATGAAAGATAAAGGTTTTACTTACAAACCAAGTAGGTAATTGGCATGTGATTGCATAAACACACAATGTGGACCTCTCTCCAGCTCCAAGTGACGACAAGATGGTGTGAGCTGTTGACGCGTTTCGGGGACCCTGTCGCTATCCTCTGAGCAAAGGCTGGCGTCCACCGGGACTCAAACCCCCTAAATAGAATGTGTGAATCCTGCAGCCCAGCTACCATTGGCGGGCGGGGCAGAAAGGGGGAGGAGTTCTTTAAAGGGGACACAGACTTATATTTATTCTCTGTAATTAATCCTGTAATTTTCTGCACAGCACAACCCAGACAAATAGGGACAGGCAGCATGCTGATCCAATCACCTTTTGCTGTAGGCGTACCTGATTACTGTGGATATGCTAACAGGAGGGAGCAGAATGAGCAGAGAGATTACCTCATCAGTGTGCTGCTGCTCTTTCACTGCCCAATCAGCTGGCTGGGAGTGTTTAATCTTGATCAAGCTGCACTGCTGCCACAGGGAAAATGGAGGTGTGGAAGGTGCTATCTGGAAGGTGTGCCTGGATCTCAAAACTGGTTGTGCAGATTTTCTTTTTCATTATGGATAGAATAGGCAAGAGTCAAGGAAGATTCTTAAGCAGGGACACCTGTATTATTTATTACAGATACATATATAGCACCATCAATTTATGCAGAACTTTACATACAGTATATATTGTGCATTCACATCGGCTCCTGCCCTCAAAGGAGCTTACAATCTAAGGTCCCTATATGACATTCATACACACACACACATACTAGGGCCAATTTACCTACCAGCATGTCTTTGGAGCATGGGAGGAAAGCGGAGCACCCAAAGAAAACTCATGCAGTCACAGGCAGTGGTGCCCTAGGTTTCATGCTGCCATAGGCAACACAAAAATTGGTTACCCTCAACATACCCACTGAGAGAGGAAAGAACAAAGAGAGGGCGCACAGGCCTAGTGCATTACCATAAAAAATGTTTAATAAGAAATAAAATAGGTGTTGTATTTACAAACGAGAATAAAGTCAAGGCACATCATAAAGAACTGCTGGGTCAACACCGCGCTGAGTATCAGTTCGCAATGGGGAGTGTAAACATCCAATAGGTTGACGCGTTTCGAGGACTTGCCTCTTCCTCAAAATATCAATATCAATATGGCATGTTTGCCATCAAACATTTTTTGGACAAAAGTGACATACCTCCCATTAAAAAAAAAAAAAAAGGTTCTGAGGAAGAGGCAAGTCCTTGAAACACGTCAGCCTATTGGATGTCTACACTCCCCATTGCGGACTGTTACTCAGCGCGGTGTTGACCCAGCTGTTCTTTATGATGTGCCTTGACTTTATTCTCGTTTGTGAGTACAACACCTATTTTATTTCTTATTAAACATTTTTTATGGTAATGCACTAGGCCTGTGCGCCCTCTGTTTGTTCTTTCCTCATTCAGTATATTTGGATTCCCCCGGTCCATTTGAGGGCAGCAAGGTGTTTATGTTCCAGGACATTCTTAATGTGGTTGTAGCCTGCATCGAGTCCATCCCCAAGCACAGGAGCATTTGTGTTTGCTGGCTCATACCCACTGAGAGACCCTGACACCGAACAACACCCCCCTCCCCCATGAAGAGAGCCTGACATTGACCAACAACACCCCAGCCCCCCCCCCCCCCCCCACACCCAAGAGAGCCTTCCACTACCCCCACCCCCCCCATACACTGGCAACCCCTCCTCCCATCAAGCAGCCCGCAGCCTCTCTCAGATCCCACCTGGTCCCCATGCTGCGTGTGTCCCTCCTTCTATCCCTTCTTTCAGGTGGCGGAGCTCCCCCCCTGAAAATGCCGCTGCCCCCCCGAAAGATGCCGTCCTAGACAAATGCCTTGCTTGCCTTGTGGTAAATTTGCTCCTGGTCACAGGAGGAACATGCAAACTCCAGGCAGGTGGTGTCATGATTGAGATTCCAACCAACGACCCTAGTACTGCCCTGTTGCCATAAAACCTCACTAGGATGGGAATGCCATTTATGTTGGGGGAGATTGTTTTCCCATTTCCTTCTAGGTCTCTGGGACAGAAAATGAGAGGTAATATCCCACATAGGCAGCTAACTCTAACCTTATAGGGAATTTAACCCTTCCATAGTCTCTCCAAAGTTTTGACTTTAACAAGTGTTGTCAGCCTCTTTTTGCTATGCAGGCATATAGCACAAGGGTGAACAGATCACAAGACTTTGTGCATTGCCTTTCAAATGTTTTTACAGGTAGAACACTTCCTCTGGGTGTCTTTCAGCAGTAATTAGCTATTTGGCTGGAGCCGTCCTCTATGGAATATTATAAATACCTAGAAGGAAAGAGAGATTGATTTACTACATTAACATACCTGTCACACCAACAACAACTGTGGAGCCCTTTCCTTCCCTGGCTCCTCTCACTGCCCGGACACTGATGTCATAGGTTGTGCTTGGTCGTAACCCTGGGGGAAAAAAGACCAAAAGCAAATGACATAAGATGGCACACAGTAAGCAAATGACATAAGATGGCACACAGAAAGCAAATGACATAAGATGGCACACAGTAAGCAAATGACATAAGATGGCACACAGAAAGCAAATGACATAAGATGGTACGCAGAAAGCAAATGACAGAAGATGGCACACAGAAAGCAAATGACATAAGATGGCACGCAGAAAGCAAATGACATAAGATAGCACACAGAAAGCAAATGACATAAGATGGCACACAGAAAGCAAATGACATAAGATGGCACACAGAAAGCAAATGACATAAGATGGCACACAGAAAGCAAATGACATAAGATGGTACACAGAAAGCAAATGACATAAGATGGCACACAGAAAGCAAATGACATAAGATGGTACGCAGAAAGCAAATGACATAAGATGGCACGCAGAAAGCAAATGACATAAGATGGTACGCAGAAAGCAAATGACATAAGATGGCACACAGAAAGCAAATGACATAAGATGGCACACAGAAAGCAAATGACATAATATGGCACACAGAAAGCAAATGACATAAGATGGCACACAGAAAGCAAATGACATAATATGGCACACAGAAAGCAAATGACATAATATGGCACACAGAAAGCAAATGACATAAGATGGTACGCAGAAAGCAAATGACATAAGATGGCACGCAGAAAGCAAATGACATAAGATGGTACGCAGAAAGCAAATGACATAAGATGGCACACAGAAAGCAAATGACATAAGATGGCACACAGAAAGCAAATGACATAAGATGGCACACAGAAAGCAAATGACATAATATGGCACACAGAAAGCAAATGACATAAGATGGCACACAGAAAGCAAATGACATAATATGGCACACAGAAAGCAAATGACATAAGATGGCGCACAGAAAGCAAATGACTTAAGATGGCACACAGAAAGCAAATGACATAATATGGCACACAGAAAGCAAATGACATAAGATGGCACACAGAAAGCAAATGACATAAGATGGCACACAGAAAGCAAATGACATAAGATGGCACACAGAAAGCAAATGACAGTTTTTATGTGTCATCCATAAGCAATGCAATGTGGATGATTTATAAAATAAAGTGCAGCTCTAAATATTAAATGTCATCATTAGTGCAAAAATGACAATAAAGTGTATATACAATAAGTGATTAAGTGGTACAATACATATATGTGCATCCAATAATAAAACAAGGTGATGAAAAACTGATAAAAAATACAAATAAAAAAAGTGTCCATGACAATACCAGATGCTGAATATCCAAATAAGTGCTCTAAATCCAGTGAGGAAATCCATCAACGCTCATGGCTATGCACTCACCAGAAAGCTACTGGTATAGTAGCATTAATGCTGATCTCATAGGTGAATACTCAGGGATCCATATGTGCAGAACGGACTTCTGGTAAGCCCAGATCAGAAAAGGGAATTCTTGCCCAGACAGATGTGACAGTTGATCTGCAGAGTCAGGGTGACATTCTGTACGGTGTGCAACATTGTCCGAGTCTGGAACACACTACTACACACTCCACTCCATCCACTACCGATCGCCGTACAGACCAATCCCCTCCGTACAGGAGAAACGCGCGCTCCAGCCTCCCCCCGGGGAAGTTCGTGCTCTGGACACCGGACGTGGCACAGCCAGGGGACAGGTGAAGGCTCTGTGTATGGAAACAGTTTTGTTTCCTGTGCCAATCCTGTCCTGAACCTGACGTGAACCTGTGAACAAGTACTGTATCAATTAGCTGTGAAACCTGAGCTTCAATCCATACTGCACATGTGAATCAGCTAGTTCACACTAGATGCAGTTTAGTGCACTTTATTCTGCATCAAATCAAATGCATGCACAGTGTTTTCCATTTATTCCAATGGCCCTGGTTCACACTAGTGCAGTCAGTTCTAGTCAGTTTCCAGTGCAGAAAAAAAAAAAGTAGCACATGCTGCATTTTTTCTGCACAGAACCTTACTGGAACTTGGCAAACTGCATCAAAACTGCACCGGAACTGCGTGTGGTGTGAACTGTAATCAAAAATGTATCCGGAATGTATTTTTGTAGTGTGAACTGGCCCTAAATGTTAGAGCGAAGTTCCAGCTGAAAAAAAAAAATAATAGTCAACAGCTACAAAAACTGTAGCTGCTGACTTTTAAAATACAGACACTTACCTGTCCCTCGGTCCAGCAGTGTCCTCACCACTGCTGGTCTTACTGGCCGTCTTCTCTCCCTGGCGCCATCATCTTAAGTGGGGGCACCCGGCTGTGACAGCTTTTGGCTTCACTCCTGTGTGCCCACTGCGCATGCACAAGAAGGGCTTCGCTTTGTGAATGGCCCCGTAGTCTTTTGGGACCTGTCACGTGACAAGACTACAGGTAGAGAGAGGGGGGACAACTTCCTCTTCCAATCGCCTAGGTGATCACAGTGGAAGTGGGAGCAGGTACCTGTCAAATTCGGGTACCCCCTCCCCCCGCTCCCCAAAGATGCCAATCCTTAATGGGGAGCGGGGAGAAAGCATTAAAGCAGAACTCCCCTTTTCACAAAAAACAAAATAGTGAACTAACTCCAAATAGCCTGGCCTACGCGCTGCACTTAGCGGCCATGATGCCCCCACTGTCACTGTTGCAGCCTCTACATCATACACCCCAATACAGAGCCCCAAATTAAGTATCTGTCACTATGGCAAGTGACCATTGGTCAGCACAACAAGAAGGGCTTCCTTGTTTTGGGACACCTTACCAGCCTCAGATGTGCTTCTCATTGGTCAGCACGGTCACATGGCTGTCCTGACCAGTGAGTACTTGCCATTACGAGTATTAGGATAGATACTCACTCTGGGGCTGTGTATTGCAGTGTACAGCACGGGGCATCAGGGCAACTGCAGTGGGGTCTGGAGGGATAACCAAGATATCTGGCATTAGTTTATCTTTTGATTTTTCATGAAAAGGTGGACTCACCCTTTAGGCCACGTTCACATATAGTGTAGTGGGAATGAGCGTTTCCGCTACACAATTCTCAACGCTCGATTCTGTGTGTCGCATAGGACCAGCCCATTCACTTAAATGACACATAAACGAACCCTCAAAAGTGATCCAATAGCGCAAATTGCATGTGAATAAATGTCACGTCACTTCCGGTCTCCACACAGCCTCGCTTTGACGCGTTTTGTCATATCTAACTTACTCATAGGGGTAAGTCAGATATGACAAAACGCGCTGTCAGGCGAGGCTGTGTGGCGATGGGAATCCGGTGGTGGTGAGAGAAATGTCTTGATCCCCATCAGTGTTTACACCTATTGCAACATCTTTGGGCTTTTTACTCACTTTGAGTCTGTAAGTGGCTGTCTATTTTAGTGAATAAAGGAGCTGTTGTGTACTGCACCATTGGGGCTTCTCTTGCTTTGTTTTACATGACCACTACACCTGACAGCGGAGTATTAAGAAGAAGGAGGTTATCCTTTATGCTATCATAAGTGCCTCTGAATTAGGAATCCACTAATTTATGAAAGTACTGCCAGCTAAATTTGGGGAAAGGCAGATATGGAGATTGGAGGAGAGGAAGCACATCGATACTAATTAATCCTTTATCCCACCAGGAGATATTCATTGAAGCGATTTTAGCCAACCATGAGAATGGGAGGCATCACCACTTGGTGAGTGTATACCCGAAAGGGGGGACACTAGTTTCGTTTTGGTGATTTATTCGGGAGAAATCGAAGAATTATTTGGTGGATAAGAACTTTCTTTGGACTTTATTTTTCACTCATGTTGACTTTTCATGTTCACATGCAATTTGCGCTACTGAATCACTTTTGAGGGTTCGTTTATATGTTATATTGATTTATTGGCAGTGGCAACAATTTTGAGTTTCATTTGGTCATTTAGCTATTTTTATTTTTTATGACTTACATTTTTTTTACGTATTTAGCGCAGTTTTGTTTGTTTTTGCATATACTTAAATGGACTTCCTTACGCACGTTTGTTGTCTGAAAAGAAGTTCCAGCTCCTTTTCGGGTGACAAACTTCATGAGGGTTTTAAAGATGCAGCTCGCCCCGGCAGCCGTGTGATCCTATCACGGAAAAATCATCGCAGAATCGAATCATATTTGGGATGCCTTTGAAGGATAATGGCCCCCATTTTGCAGCGATTGCCATGCGATTTGGAATTGTGGGCAGAATCACTGCGATTGTGCCCGCAATTCCAAATTGTGAAGTGGGAATGGGGTCTAAAGCACAATAAACTCAGGAAGAGAGGGTTATGACACAGGATACCCCCCTAAAGAAATACCAAAACTGACTCCAGACATTTTTTACAGCATTGCCTTAATAACGTGCTTCTTATTGAAGACCGAGGATTTCCGTGGTACCAGTCTGACATGTTTTCCTATGCAATCTCAAAAACAGGCTTATTATTATTAACCTCATAAAGCAGGCTCAGCTTAAAAGTGTTTTACAGAGCTCTCTATTACTGCAGCTATTGTGAAATTGCATTTAGATTTCAAGATCACTTCATATAAACAACAAGTTTAAGGTGATCTGTATTTCTCCCGGCCTATGTGAGAAGTAATTTTTTATTATAGCTGATAAATTGAGGTCAAAGAGAAGCAGAAAGCTGCTTCAGATTTGTATTGTGCTAGATATATTTATTTCAACGTCTCAAGGCATGTTTATGAGAGTGATTCCACAATGCATAATCTAATTTATTGTACAGAATTTTATTTTTGTTTTCTGTAGAAATTCCAGTGGCTGCGAATATCTACTTAAGAAGGGCAGGTTTTGAAAAATATTACATTTCTATGTCAGATAAGCCTGATTCTAGGTTCACACTCATGTGTTTTGCGGAAACGCACAGCGGTCTATTTAACATGATTTCCTACGGGACACGTTCACATCTCTGCGTTTTCACCAGGTGATTTTTTTTGAAAGGGTCAGGGACTTTTTTAACCACTTGCCTACCCTTTCCTGCCCAGGCCA